GGGGCTGGCCAGCTGGCGGGCTTTCCCTCCTCTCGGCGGGCGGCGCCCCGCGGGAGGAGGGGGCCGGGGCCAGGAGAGCAGGGCCCAGGAGTGCCGCTCGCCTCTCGGGCCACTCCTGGGGCTCTGTGACTGGTGGTGCCGCTTCCCTGGGCTCCCGGGGCTTTGCAGCGGGCCCCGAGGTGGGCAGGCCCAGCACTCCCTGGGACGCTTTTCCTGTGGCCTGGTAGACAGCCCTGGTACGACGTGCTGGGGCTGGTCCGGCCCGTGGGGCGTTCTCTGGCTTAGTTCTGGAGCGTGTGGCTGCGCAGCCAGATTGAAGAGTCTTGGCTGTGTTTGGAACAGGTGACACGTGCTTGGTGTCAGCCGAAGTGTTCTTTTGCGTTGCAGAAAGGCCATGTTCAGCTCTAGCGCCAAGATTGTGAAGCCTAATGGCGAGAAGCCAGACGAGTTCGAGTCTGGTATATCCCAGGTATGTGTCTTTTCCTTGTGCTCTTCGGCAGCTCACTTCCAGGTTATTGAGACAGTTGTCCAAACCGTAAACTTTGAGGTTGGTCCTGTCAACGTGTATAATTTCCTAGTTTTACTTAGGAACTGAGTCAATTAGCTTCTGTTTCTATCAGTTAAACGTGTTGGATATTGGTGTATCTTACAGGAAGTTAAGTCTTTGATATTGACTCTGATTAAAAGTCTATATCTGCATCTTTGGCACTGTGGACATGGTTTTGGTCTCAAGTGTTCTCATGAACTGAAGTGTATGTAATGGATTATTCCACAACTTCACTTTTGTAGGCTCTGCTGGAGTTGGAAATGAACTCTGACTTAAAAGCTCAGCTGCGGGAGTTAAACATCACAGCAGCTAAGGTAGGCTGGACCTTCTCCACTTAGAACTGAGTGGTGACTTGTTCTGTGCATGTTTAATTTTTGTGGATGTTAATGTACTAGATGAATGGTGTCTTAAGCCCTTATGGCCTGTGATGGTTTTGTTATGTGCTGTTGTGGCTTATCTTCTGGTATTTGCTGCTTGCAAGTAGGATTCCCTAATAGTGTTTTTCTTAGGAACTAGTCTGAAAAGTCACTGTAAAAGCCCAAATAGCAACCTAATGTGTTAAATAAAAATGTTTAAAAATTATTATTCTACTTTATGTCTCTGCAGAGCGGGTTTGGGGTCTGAAACTGGCTTTTTTTCATGTAGATATTGGCTGGAAATGTAGGTGTGAAAGAAAATTAGAAACAAAAACTGCAATACTCTTTGTAAAAAAAAAAAAATGTTTTGTGTCTCTTCTGCGCAATTAGTAGGAGGTAGGTGGATTAAGGCAATAGATTGACTTGATCATGTATCTTAGCCTGCTTGTACATTTCAATTTTAGATCATGCAGGGAGCTGGAACATCAAGAAATAAAAAGAAGAAAGCAATTAGTGGAAAACGAGAAAGAAAATTAGCATTAGCATTGGTCAGCTTGGGAGGCTGGATGGTAGCAATGAAGCTGGTCACTGCAATCAGAAACTTTAATGAGCTGCTTGCCCAGGCCCACCAGTACAGACACAGGGGTTGGACTGCTTAGAGCTGAATTAAAGAATCAGGGAGTGCAGAAAGCACCTTGGTGTATGAGCTGAGGGGCTTTCAGAAGAAACTGCAGCTCTCTGGAAGTACAGCAGTTCTAGCTGTTCTTCATGAAGGGCTTTTAGAAATGTCTTTGTTGTTTACTTAGCTGCTTGATTTTATTGGTGAGAAATCTCCCATGGGCATCTGAGTTGGCTCATGTAAGAAGGTAGCTGGTGAAGAACAGTCCATCCTTCCATTCTCTTGGAGAATGAGGATGTCTCTGCAGCCAGTTTCATGGGAGAAGTGCCTTCTAAGCCTACGTAAACTTTGGGTTTGATCAGCTACTGGAGAGATAAAGCAGGGGAGAAAGTAACCCATCCTAGTGTATTGTAATCCTGTTGGCATTTGAAGGGGTGACAGATGTTTTGATTGAGTAGTGATGCAGGCCTAAGCAAGTGGTGGACAGAAGGTGATTTCCATGAAGCAGTAGATTAAGAGATTTGTTCCTCTAAACTTTGGAATCTGCATTAGAGGCAGATTTCAAAGTAGTCTTTGAAAGTTTGTATGAGCACAACTGCAGATGTGATGGTAAGCGTTCAGTATAGTTAAAATTCTAGCACCTGAATCTCATCCTGCAGAAGGAAGGGGTTTGCTGTTCAGAGGATGTGATTCTGAAAGGGGTGGTGGGATTTACTGCCCAGTCACTCCTTCACAGTGAAACAAGTGGTCTGATAAAAGTTTTTCTGTTAAGTGCTTTGTCTGAAGAGCTTTAAGGCAGGTAGGTACTGCTTTCTGATGCACTTGCTGTCCCACAGAGTCAGCAGCAAGACTGTCAATACCTGTGCTCAGAGGATTCACAGTCAAACCAGACATTACTTCTTAACCCCTAGCTAATGCTTACTTTGTACTTCTGTTTCAGGAAATTGAAGTAGGTGGTGGCAGAAAAGCCATCATTATCTTCGTACCGGTTCCTCAGCTGAAGTCCTTCCAGAAGATTCAGGTGCGGCTAGTTCGGGAGCTGGAGAAGAAATTTAGTGGAAAACATGTGGTGTTCATTGCTCAGGTAAAAAAACCCTTAGAGTTACAAAAATGATTTGAAGGAATAGCTGATACTACACTAGAGCAGTGTGGTAGCTCACACAGGTTCCAGTGTTGCATTGCCCATTCAAGGTAACAGTGATAGGCAGGAAATCTAATGAATGTCCGGTGGATGTTAGCTAAAATGTTTCCAACTGTCTGCAGTGGAAACTTGGTGAGATGCAGAGTTCTTTCATGGAGGATATAACTTTCTTGCTCTAGCCTCTCTTACTCCTTCAGAAGTTTGACACACAAGGCTTAAAATAAAAAGGAACAAATATTAATAGGAACTTTGCTATGCTTAGGCAATCTAAGCACTTAAAATTTAAGTTACTAGGAAAGGAGGGAAAAAAACTCATGCAAGCTCTAAATATATGGCAGGAGCTAGGGTGAAAAGGTGTTGGAGTGATCTCTTACTTAAGGGCAATACTTAAGGGTTGGATAAACTAGGGATCTGTCTGCAGAGTGGACAGTTGGTTAAACTGAAGCCAGCTGAAAAATTGTAATACAATTTTAAGAGCCAGAGCACCATGCCATGAATCTTTATATGGTCAAAAAGATTTATTTTAATAAAGTGCCTCTGGCTTACTTCACCTAAAGGTTCTTCACCCAGGGGGTGTTTGGGCTCTGGAACAGCCCCCCCAGGGAAGTGGTCACAGCACCAGCCTGACAGAGTGCAAGAAGTGTTAGGGCAATACTTTCTGGCATACGGTGTGACTTGTGGGGATGTTCTGTGCAGGGCCAGGAGCTGGACTTGATGGTCCTTGTCAGTCACTTGCAACTCAGCATATTCTGTGATTTTGTAAGATTCTGTATTCCCTTGAGAATTCCTTCAGTAATCTGTGTTTTAGAAGGGAACATGTGCTTTTGAGTATGACAGGAGCTAATTTGTACTGTGGTAACCCCATCATGAATGTAGTCATGGAGAAGCTGTGATGTGATGGTAGGAAATACTGCAGGTGGCTAAAACTGCATCTAGAATGTTTTAAAACATCTACCCTTGCAGTAGGGAAGTAGAAAATAAATTTTACTGACCTAACGTTTAGATCCTAATTTTGGAACAGGTTATATTTAAGCCATGGTTTGATCTGGATTGTGCAATAGATCGTACTATTAAAATGAGCACTTCAGTCTCAGATGTCACCTAGCAATCTGTGGAACTGAGCTCACTACTCTGGTTTGCACCAGAGGCTCAGTCTAAGAGAAGTTTAAAATTCCCTGGGATTTCTGCTCCCAGAGAAGTGTGTTCACGGCGCTAATGAGATACAGTAAACTACTGTGGTTGTATTCCTGGGGAGAGGGGAATGAAGTACAAATCTTTTATTCCAGGTCACTGAATACAGGAATAGTAATTGAGAAATAATAGCAGTACAGTAGTTCACCTTCTAGTTCTCTAGTTTCTAATGCTGATGTAACTTTAAGCATACTTAAGTCTTTTGGCTTTTCATGCATTGGTTTCTAGTGTGAGGGGAAAAGGTGCATATGCTGAGGATGTTTCTGAGCTCATTGTAACCACCAGATACTGAGAAATGCCTTTTTATTTTTCTCTTGCCTTAACAGAGAAGGATTCTGCCCAAGCCAACAAGAAAAAGCCGCACAAAAAACAAGCAAAAGCGTCCGAGAAGGTTAGTAAATGATACTGATTCAGTGTGACAGCTTTTTTTTGTACCTGGTAGTTTAGCCAAGTAATGGTTAGTTGAGTTTTTAAGAAGTCATTCAAGTGATTGGGTGGTCTTGTCCTTTCTCCTATTGCTTGAAATAGTATCTGTCATTTGACTGTTAAAGTGTTCAGTAGAAAGCTCACCTTTGGGCACTGTGTTGCATTTCTTAGCACTCGATTTTATTTCCAGCTACAGCTGTAGCAAATTTTTACCTAGCAGTGCTGGCTTAAGGAACCCCAACCTGCTGTCTTTCTAACCATAGTGTGTTGACAAGAACTATTTTTTTTTTAAGTTGTAGGAAGAGCCTCTTCCACATCACATGTTAGACTGTGCAGAAGTCAAGGCTGGCACACTGGAAGGGGATGCAATGAGGGAAAGAGTGGCTGAGGAGGGGTGTAGGTACGAGTACTAGTCCCTCTGGATATGAATTTGATAGCAATAGTATAGTCATTTGTGTTAAATGGCCTCCCTGCTCTCATCTAGTCACTTGATTGCTAGACATGCAACACTGCTATGTCTCTGTGGATGTCAGTGCCTCATCTATATGTTGCTGTATCATGTAAGTCTGTATCTTAAAAGTTTGTCCTCTTTATGACATGTGGCATGTCTTGTAGCTTCTCCCTGCCAACCCAGTATTATACCTGTGTCACTGTGTTTTGCAGTCTTCAGGCATGGATTTTAAAAGTAACAGTTTCACAGTATTCATCTAGCTGCAGTCCTGCCTTGGGAGGACTCCTTGTTCTATTAAAACTAGGACTGTGGTTACTAGCTGGTCTGTAACAGTGGTTAGAGAAATTGTGTCTGAGTAGCACACTGCCACTTTTCTGCATGAGGGAAGGCAGGTATGCAGGACTGCCCCTGTCTCAGCCTGAGGTGAGATCAGGCTGCTGTGTTGTTGTGGATGTCTGTCTCCCTTAGCTGTGCCAGTCTCAGCAGCTGTACAGTGCTGCTGTAGACACATGTGTTAGTTACTAGTGATACTGCCCTGAAATTGCAGATTGGGATGCTGCGGATCGGAAGACTTATTAGTCCTCTAGACTCATGTAAAATAACCTGGGCCACCTTTTCCCGTATTGCTCACTTCTGGACAGTTCAGGATCACACGTGTAGATTTCAAACAGTCTTCTAAACATGGACTCAATTGACCAGCTAGTCTTTTTCTGTATTACATTGGTCTTGTAAGATGCATGGGTTTAGGCAGATGAAGAAACCAGTGTTTCCAAAATTTGGTCTCCCATGAATGTGTTCTGTGCAGCTGAGGATACTTACACACTTAAACTCGTCCAGTCAGTGTCTCTGGTAGAGTTGCAGATGGAGCAATTTGGTTTTGATTTAAATATTTATTATTAAATGTCTAGAGATAGAATGATGTTTCAGGACTGTTGCCGCAAAAAGTCTAAAAGGTGATCTAAAAGGTCAGAAACCTAGCTACTTTTACTTGTGCAGTCCTTAAGTTTCTGCACTCTGTAGAATTTACCTTTTCTTTTTGCATGCCCTCTGATAGTGTTGTATTGTCACACTGTGGCATTAAAGAAAAAGAAATGACACTGAATTTTCAGCCAAAGCATGCTATGGAAGATTTAAACCCTGTCAGACTGGAAAATTTTCAAAAGGATGTGTTTTAATGGTATAAATGTGGCATTTCAGCCGTACACTTACTGCAGTGCACGATGCTATTCTTGAGGACCTGGTCTTCCCAAGTGAAATCGTGGGCAAGAGAATCCGTGTAAAGCTGGATGGCAGCAGGCTTATAAAAGTGCATCTGGACAAAGCACAACAGAACAATGTTGAACACAAGGTAAATAAAAAAAACTTATTTTCTTATTCAGGTGAGGGTGACATTCTGACATCCCTAAGAGACTGCTTAGGCATACAGCAAAAGACTTGCCTTATGGCTTCTGGAGATGTTTCTGTTTATATTTTGAGTTAGATGCTGAAATAGAGGCAAGACAGTTTAGAACTAAATCTCTAGTTAAACTTGCCAAAGCTTCTGGATTGTAAAGTAGCTATATTGGTTCCCTCATGGGACCAGAGACAGTGTTTTATTGGGTTTTTTGTGTGTATTTGGGTTGGTTGGGTTGTTTATTTTTGTTTGTGCTTTTTCTTTTCGTTGTTTTTCAAGTGAGGCACTTAGTTTTGACCTTAAACGGATGTGCTCAGTAAAGCCTGCACTTTGTTTGGTTTGTTTCTGGGGGGCTGGAGGGAATGGGAGGCTGGTGTTTGGGCCTGCTCAGCTCTCAGGGTCTCACACTGTTGCAAATCAGAGCGGGCCCAAATACTCTGAAGGAAATTTATCTTTTGTGTAAATCCTCATCTGCCTTAATTTAGAAGGAAATAATTTGCCTCAGAGTGAAGATACACTGGCAAATAGTGTAGTACCTTAAGTATGTTAACTTAGAGTCACTTGTTTACACAGCATGTATAAGCAAGATTTATTTGTCTTCACAGGTGGAAACATTTTCTGGTGTGTACAAGAAGCTCACAGGGAAAGATGTGGTGTTTGAATTTCCAGAATTCCAGCTGTAAAATGCAAAAAAATGGCTGAATAAACAACTGTTCATATAACAGAGTAATTTCATTTAAATTTTGAATTCCATAAACACAGATTGGGATTAACTGGTTCATGGAACTTCGCCACTGTCTGGAGATTGACACCTGTGAATCAAAGTATTAAGTCCCCAGCATTTTAATGGAAGCCCTCTTAGGTTTGTCTTGTCGCTATTGCAACACAACTGGATAAAAGAGTCCAGAGTCTGCACAAAGAATTTGTAATGAAAAACCTAAATATTCCACATCTCACCTTCTGGGGAAAATACGGAGAATTACTGTAGAGCAGTGGAACTCATGAGTTTTGCACGCGACATATCAGTTGGAGACCTACATGTTCCTGACACTGGAGGAACTAGCAGGTGGTGTGTGACTCATGAAATATGTAGAAATGACATCTGGATAAAAGGGGTTTGAATTATTAGGAAGTAGGTTGGGGAGGTGTAGGTTGATTTTGAGGGAAACTTCCTCTAAATGGCAACATTTCTTACAAGTTCTTACCTAAAAGCAGGCTCTGTAACTAACTTTTCACCTTTATCAGACTGAAATGGGAAGGAATTTTTACTTCTGAGTGCTAGACTACATCACTGGACAAAAAAACCAATTTTTTTAGGTATTGATCTTGCTTTCAAGAGATATTTGTTTCTTTTAAGATGTTTTAATATGGTTCTGTACATTCTTGGTGATACTGGGGGAGATGGGGAAGGACTAGATGTTTTAGCATCTGAAGGCTGATAGTGTCTCAGAAACATTATATTTTTGACTTCAGTATCTGTGTTACAGAACACTACAAGCTCAGGGATGAATGGAGTTGGTCATGTAAAGTTCACAGCAAATGATATGAATTAGTACTTAATTGTACTAAATACTAGGAGTCAAGGTTTTATACAGTAAAAGACAAATAATTTTGGAGTCAGTCTAGTAAGCAGAGAGCTAAGTTCGATTGTGTGATAGGCACACTTAATAACTTGCGTTTTCCTTCCTGAGAGTAGATTGAGGACAAGTGCCACTCACAGAGGGTCTTTGTATCTTTACTTCCTTTTTCCATTTACAGTAGTTTTGGTTGCTTCCCACTTGGCACCTCTAACTAAGAGAGCTAAAAGGTTAAAACAAGTTCTGCATTGTTTTTTCATTGAAAAAATGAAGACTTCAGAAGTTATGGCATGACTTAGTAGGGCAGGATGGATAGCCCTGTGCTGTTACTGTTGGTGCCAAGAATGCAAAGAGAAGGAAAATGTGCCCTGTTATAATTAGTTAATTTCTTGTTACTTGCTGACAAGGCTTGAATATTTGCACAAAAAGCAGGCAGTATCTTTGAAGAAGTTTGTTTGCCTTAAGGCCTTTTCCTACCTCCTTTTTAAATACTCTGTCTCTGGAGTATAACTTAATTCCTTATTTATTCCTTGACTATTTACTGTTCATCTTGAATGATTCAGCCTTAGAATTAGGTCAGAGGAGCTGTAGGTATATAATAACCCCAAATCCTGTCTGCTTGTGTGAAGAATAATTGTAAAAGATCTTACAGTAGAGGAGCCATAACTTTAGAATTCAAGTTTTCATTGCAAAAATGGATATTATTCAGATTGGGAGTGTCACTTTGTCTCGTCCCCCAAAAATACAGTCTTGAGTCAGACACATTACTAAGCTTTCCCCCAAAACAGTCACAGATGGCAGCCTGTGCAAATAGACCTTGGCTGGTGTGGGCTGAAGAAGCAGCTTGGGGAGTATTTGGAGACTTGCCAGATGTTAGCTACCTTTAGTTAGAGGCGGGTGAGTCTGCTGAGGCTGTGTAACCTCTGCAAGGAGAGGTGATCCTCAGCAGGCTTTGCTAAACAGCATTTCCTGTTTTATAGGGAAATGTAACTCAGGTTTCATCTCTGCATAGTAATAAAAATGTCAGTTGAGTTTCTTTTGAAGCACTGGGAGGGGGTAAGCGGGGGAGGAGAAATCCAGTAAACTGAACATGAAGATTGCAAACGTTCCCAGGCATTGCCAGCTGGCTATAGATTTTTCTTGGCTCTTGTTGCAAGCCCTCTTGAACTATATGATATGCAAAGGCTCTCTATGGCTCCATAAGCAAATTCTTTGAGGGAAAGGATAATGCTGTCAAAGCTCTATGGTTTTTACATCAACTAAGCTACAAGGAAAGGTGAATATTTGTGGCATAAAAATACAAGACTGCGTGTTTGCAAAAGACTTTAGTCTTAGTTTACCTTTATTTACAGACTCCCTTGAGTGTTTGTGTCAGTGATACAGTCAGACAACTCCCTTTGTCCCTTGACAAGCATACTAAGTGCATGCCTGCAATCTGGAAAGTCGGTTTGATGCCATCTGGTCAAGTGCTAATGAGGCTGCTGGAATGCTGGTGTCAAATGTTACCTTAACCTAAGCAAACTCCATGCTAGACTTTTCCTATACCTTTCATATGCTGGTACAATTGAACTCAGAACATGTGATGTGTCATGAGTTTTATCAGCTGCTCTGAGTGAAAAAGTGGTGAGGCATTCTGTACCAACACTGCAGCAGTAGTATGTGGGTAGTATCAGTGTGGAGAGACAGGCATATACTGAAGTTCTTTCCTGAAGTAGCTCCAAATGAAAAACAAAGGCTTTACATCTGTTAAGTGCTTGTGAGACTTTCAACTGATTTTAAAGCTTCAAGTGTTTATTTCATATTAATCCTTTCACGATCTTCAACTATTTTTGCCTGTGAGGAAGACTGATCCCTGGTGATTTTTCTTCAAAAAGGTGTGTAGATGTGTCACAATTCTAGCATAACAGAACTTGATTGAAGTTTTGGATGGAAAGTGCTTGACCTGTCTTGTATTAATAGGGAAACTTGATACGTGATAACATCATGTCTGAGTAGCCCCTCTTGAGAGTAAGTGGGAACAACTGGTGAGTTTCAGTGTAGTAGTGATGTGATGTCAAGCAGCATTCAGAGGAAATCCTATCACTCCTGCATTGTGGACCAAAATAATTGTTTCCTATTCCTTTGTTTTCCTGAATTTTCCAAGTAGGAGGCCTGAGTTTGATTCTTAATTACATTTGAAGGTCAGAGCAATGCTGAAAAGCTAGACCTTTTCCAGTTTGTGATATGTGCTATCCCGGCCACTAGATGTTTATCAGAATGACAGAAAAAAAGATGTCGATTACACAAAGTTATGAAGCCTCATAAAATGAAGGCTGGAGGTCAGGCTGAGGGAGTGCGAGTTTCTCTGTTTCCAGTAGGGGCTGACTGCAGCACTGATCAGTGTAAATAATTCACTGCTGTTTTAACAAAGTGCCTTTGCCCTGCCCCTTGCTGCCTGCCTTGAGGGTACTCCTGTGAAAGCCCTGCTGACACGAATATCTATGTACTAGTGCTCTGTTCCCTACAGAGATACAAGTAAAAGTCCTTATTTATGTATTGTCATCAAGAGGAGAGAGTTTGTTGGATTTGTTAAGTGTATGAGTTAATGTTTCCCCTCTTCTACCTTCCAGTTTTTCTTACTTGTTTTCAGGAAAATCAAGCTTAGTGTCATGCAATTGCTGCTTGGTGTTGCTAAATGATTAATAGCTAACAGTTTTAATTATTGCATATTGAGTCAACATGTGTGGCTCAGTTGTGATCTGCACCTGGAGCAGCAAAAATAGAATTAAATTCAAGCACTGAGGAGTTTATTCCAGTTTTAGAGATGACTAACAGAAAAAGCACAGTTGTTGCAGTGAATGCTGCTTATAATTTTTTATACAAAAAAAAAAAGTTAATTCAACATCACTAATGAAGTAGAAGGCCAGGTTTTACACAGTTGCAAATAAAGTTAATCTTGTATTGATGTGGGCACACTGATCTTTCCCACCCTACATCTCATGTACTGCGCAGCAAGTAAGGAGAGCTTCTGCTCTCTGTGCCCACAGAGGCGCTGGGGAGGTGCTAAGATGTTCAGATGGCAGGTGGATGTCTTCACAGGGACAGATCTACAGGCTGTGTTCTACCAGGATTGTCTTAATGCTTAATAAAGTTGTTTCCTATTTTCTTGGCTAAACAGATACTGTTATGTGAAGCAAAGGGAATAGGACACATTGTGCTGCCCCAAGAGCAGAGGAGGGGTTGCACTTGGCATGCTTGGGTGCATGTCTGTACTGTGGAGGAATCCTGTATCTGCTGCATCTCCTTGCCGCTTTTAGGAGTCTCTTGGCAGTGCCCTGGGAGGCCTAATAAGGGCTGGTTAGTGAGGCAGCTTTTACTTTGAGTAAGTAGAACAGCATTTGTGATGGCCTGCAATAAAACGAGCTCTGGCAATTGAGCTCAGATACTGATTTCTTAAGTAGTTAGGTTATTGGAAATTTTCATCTTTTGGAAAAATCTGATTGGGAAATTCTGATACCATTGGATACTTTGCTGAACCAAAGGGAGAATCAGGGCCTTATCATCTTCTCTTAGGATTTTTAAATAGCCATTGTGTTTTTAAATAGGTATTGTGTTTAATCCTCTTACAGATACAAAGATAATTCCAGCTGACTATGCAAAGTGTAGAAAAAATTACATGGATGCTCCTAAAATGTATTAGCATATTTTTCCTGTTTTCTAAAAACTTTTTATTGTCTTTTTACAACCATTTGGATTTTATCTGCATGGTTTTGGTTTGGTTTGAACCCAAGAATTCTACTCGTAGTTGTCAGTGTGATATTTAATCTGAATTTAAAGGCTGAAGAAAAGATTTGTAGTGGGTTAAGCTGAGGTAGGTGGCCAAATTAATGTCTTGCTGTATAGAAACATTTTTATAGAAACAGGTTTGGGTTTCAAGGGACCGTAAGGTTTATCTACTCTAGCCCCACCCTGCTGTGGGCAGGAACACCTTCCTCTAGATAAGGTTGTTTAAAGCCCCGTCCAATCTGGCCTTGAGCATGTCCAGGGATCAGGCATCCACGACTTCTTTGGGAAACCTGTTCTAGTGTCTCACGAGTCTAACAGTAAAGAATTCATAGTATCTGATATAAACCTGCCCTCTTTCAGTCTGAAGCCTTTCTGCCTTGCCCTATTCACTACATATCCTTGTAAAAAGTCTCTCTCCAGCTTTCTTTTAGCCCTACCCCCCTTTAGTTAATGGAAGGTGCTCTAACATCTCTCAGGAGCCTTCTCCAGTCTGAGGAAGCCTGACCCTTTCAGCCTGTGTTCATTAGAAAGGTTCTCTGGCCTCATTAGCGCTCCTCTGGACTCATTTCAACAGGTCTGCATTTTTCTTATGTTGGGGGTCTCAGAGCTGGATGCAGCATAGCAGGCAGGCTCTCATGAGAGAGGAGCAGAGGGACAGAATCACTTCCCCCAAGCTGCTGGCCATGCTTCTGTTGATGCAGCTCAGGATGTGGTTGGATTTCTGGGCTGCAAGGGCACCTGTCTGGCTCATGTTGAGCTTCTCATCAACCAACAAGTTCTTCTTCTCAGGGCTGTTCTTGATCCATTCTCTGCCCAGTCTGTGTTTATGCTTGGGATTGCCCCAACCCAGGTGCAGGATCTTGCACTTGGTGTTGAACTTCATGAGGTCTGCACAGGCCCCTCTCTCAAGCCTGTCAAACAGGTGTCCTTTTCCTTGCAGAAAGGACTTGCATTTTCCTTAGTCTTCCTTTAGATACATCACTGATGTACCTGAAGAAGCTTTTCTTGTTGCCTTTGATGTCTCTGGACAGATTTCATTTTCTCAGTGTATGTTAGCTTTCCTAACATGGTGCCTCATTGCTCAGACAATCTTTGTTCCTCCCAGGCTACCCATACTTGCTTATTCTCCCTATTCTTAGAGAAAGCACTTTAACTGTATTTATAATGTTTGCCCTTTCCTTTTGAACTCTGGTCATTTATGTTTTTTTTTACTTCTGCTTCCCTGGTGTTGGTGTCCTACCTTTTCTACCAACTTTCCCTGAATGGCTCTATTTCTCCATTGAATTCTGGTTCTGGCCTCAAAGTTATTTGCCTGTGTTTACAGGGAGAGTAGATATGTATGTAAATGGAGTTGTCTTTGCCATGGTAATATGATCTTCAAAGGCTTAGACTACAGTCACTTTGCTGCATTCTTTACATAAAATGTTTGTCTTGGCAAGTTTCTGCCAACAGAGTGCTGCAAGGGCCCAGTCCTGCTAATTGCCTTCTGATCCCACTGAACTGATCAGGCTTGTATGCATAAAAAATGAACTTTAAAATTAAGTTGCATGGTCCTTAGACAGTTATGTTCATGTTCTACCATACTGCCCTTTCTTTGCTGAGGTAATCTACCAAGGAAGTGATCATTGGCTTTTAACTTTTCATGACCATTTGATGTGTGTTAAAATTCAGGAGTCCATAGCAGTGGAGGGTATCTAGGTTCCAGTCCCACATGGAAACCTGTATGTAGGTAGTCCACAAGGAGTCCTGAGTATGAGGCATCACTACCTCTTTTTGAATCTGTTTTTGTCCTTGCCATTAAAGCTGGGCAGTGTGTGCTGTGGGCTGACAAAACAGGAGCTGTCATGGGCAAGAAGGCTGCACACCCCAGGCTTAGGGAGAGGTTTGCTGGGAGAGAGGATATATAATGTCAAGAGCAAAGCAGGAAGAGAGTACATCAGCACAGTGTCATTAGCTTGTACTGCAAGCCCCACCGCAGCACGAAATTCTCAATGAAGTGGACGTACACCTCAAAAGAGATTGGAAAAGTGATAAGGAAGTGAGCACACAGATGATTCTATTGCAGCTTTCTCTAACCCCTCAGTCTAAAACCTTTTCTGTGTTCTAATACTTTCCTGGTCTTGGGACTGTGGAAGGTGGAAAGTAACCTCCTGCTACTGCCTGTAGCTCCTGTTCTGGTTTTCCAGTAAGAGGTCACATATTGGGGGTTACCCAGGCTCCCAGCCTAATGGGTGCTTGCTTATAATATGGCCCCTCAAACATTACCTGGAAGAACTGGGAGGAGGGAACAGTGGCACGAGATGGATGGAGACAGATGATTCACAGGATTTTTTTTGTAGCTATCAGAGCTACAGTCTTACAAATACAGCAGCTTTTCATTGGAGAGTATTAATTAATACAGTCACAAGTGGTACTCTCTGTTTACCCTGGAAATTGAGAGTGAAGCTGTTTATATCTTTCGAAGTATAAACTGCTGTAACTGAGTGGGGGGTGGGGGGGTGTTCTCAAAATCCCACTTCCCAGAACCAGCTGGCCCCAGTTTTTTGCTGCTTGAATGTGTGTGGAGTACTGTGGTTTATCCAGGCCTCAAACTAGTCTAGCTGTTAAAGGTAAAAATCAAAGCTGTACAAGTATTTAGAAGATCAAAAGTGAAAAGCACTTAAATTGTATAAAAAGGTGTTTAAAATACATCACAAAATTTTGTGAAGATGCCTGCCATGTGGATAATTTAGCATTTATGTTGTTGTGGGGTGTTCAGACATGGCTCCGAAACAGTTGCATATTTTATTCAAGTCAAGAATGGTGCAGCCAATTGCAAGAATAAAGATAATTTCAGCAAGGGGAGAGTGTGCTAATTAGCCACACAAGAAAATCACATTCAGTGCTGCATTTCATGTGTTTTCATATCTGCTGAAGCAAAGCAAGGAGAGTGTTGTGCTGGGGCAGTGTGCGTGCATGGCTTAGAGCTGAATAGATGCAAATGGTTAAAAAGGGGTTCTCTGCTAGAGAGGAGGAGCGGAAAGTAAGTGTGCATTCCCAAAAAAGTACATTCCCAAAATAAAAAGCTTACATCATGGACCTCTTCAGTTTTCCCACACTTCTTCCCTAATTATTGTCCTTCAGGACAGCTGATCTATTTCAAACAGGAAGCTGTTTACAGATAACACTTGCAACTGTTTTGTCTGATTTGTTGAACTGTCGAAAAGTAAAAGACAACCTCTTTTTAAATTAAAAACTGTCAGACTTCTGTAAACAGCAGCAATGAGGTTCATCTGTGCAGTGTCCCTGCAGGCACAGAGCATTGTGCAGTTCCCATTCTCTCAGCAGCCATAAGGTAAGAGACTTTTAATGCTTTCACTCTGTAAAAACATGTAGAGGAAAAAGTCTTGATGTTTTTTAGGGAGCTGCTTTGTATATGGCAAAATATGATTGACAATCCCCAAACAGAAGGGGAAGGCAAATGAAAAAAGAGCTTGCTTGAGTCTATCGGGTAACATTGGACCTTTCTATTGAGAAGCACCCATGAGGGTTAGATCACTGAATGCCAGTTTAGTTTAGGGGGGGTTGTGTTTAAAATGTACAAATGCCATTGCAAGAGCTTGCTTTCCTTTTAGCAGGGAGGATTAAACAGTATATGAATTTTAACTTTTCCTACAGTTGAAACTTATTTGACTTCATTCTTGAGTTGTAATTCCTGGTAACAGACACAGGCAGTTGTCTGTTTTCCACTTTAAAAAGTGATCTTTTAAGACAACTGCAAAGCAGAGAATGAAGACTGGCACTGCAGAAGTGAAACATGACAGAAGGTCCAGTAAGGGCTGAAATTACACTGCTGCATGGTTAAGAGCATCTCAGTGAAAACTAAGTCATATAGGGAGTAGTAACATGCAGAAATGGTTAGTGAGGTATAAGGATGTATAATGATACAAAATCTTGGTCCAAGTGAGCAGGAATGTGAGAGTAAGCCATATTTCAATAAGCTGTAGGGCACATGTCTGCTTGTCAGGATTCATAAGGGGCTTGCAATTTTCCATTCTGACTTCTGTGCATACATATGTGTTCAGTATAGGCAGTGAAATTTTGGAGGGGGATTGTTTTCTAACAAAATGAAATCACTGTGGAGAACTGAAATACCTAACTTTACTTGTCCTACAGTGAAATGGAGCAGTTGGATTGGAAATACTATGACTTTGTTTACTGGTGCAAAACCAATACACTTTGATTCTTGGGTATTGAAAGATTTTTGAAATGTGGCAAATGTAAAAACTGTTGCCCTATGTTTTCTTCTCTGTAGCTGAGATCTTTGTATTTCATATCCATGTGATTGTTTATATGATCATGAACATTTAAGGCATTATAGTGATCAGAAAATATAAAGCAAACACTGATTTAAAGGTCACACAATGACACTCTCCCTAAAGCTTTAGTATGTTACAGATGCAGCATAAATAAGGTGTGCCAGTGTTGTAGACAAGAAGCAAGACTTTAAAGCTGAGTATTCCTTTTAAAAATGTTTGGACTGTCTTTCATAAAATTCTTAGATGTATCTGTTAAAATGAAATTACTGTTTTAGTTAATACATGAAAGATAATGTGTAAGTTAAATCCATAGTCAAAATAGCATTTTAAACGTGGCATATTCCTATAGTCAAAAGAGAATTGCGCTGTGGAATGATGTCTTGAGAGCAGAAATCTACTGTGTAATTTCTAGGGACCTTAGGGGTTATCTACTCTATCACTGTATGTTATGGTCAAGGCTATTTTTTTCTGAGTATTTTGAATGATTTTACACTGTTTCTAAAGCTACTTTAGTCATCTCTAGGTCTGTCCAAAGATTCTTGAACCAGAATTCTTTTGAAGTAGCAAGACTTTTGGCAGAGTAGCTTTTTAGAGAAAAGTGTCAGTTTTCTGGGATAGTTCAGTTCATCAAATTATTTTGGCTGAAAACCAGGAGAGTTTAGCCAAAAATATTCTCATCATGTCTCTTGGGAAGTGTAGTTTGTGCTTTGCACTGCATTTCACTACTGGCTGAACTTCACAGCTGAACCACGTTTCCCGTAAGGCTGTGTTGTCAGGGTCTCGCTATTTTAATTTCCCTTGATGAAAGGAGTGTTAAGGAGTATTTTGGAAAAGTTAGTCTCGTGAAAGAGGCACAGACTGGGCTCATAAGGTATCAACTGGTTGATAACTAGTTGGCAGCTTCTTAAAATTCAAGTGTTTCCTTCTGGTTTGCACATGAGCCACAGGCTATCCTGGTTTTCATCCATGAGAGTAGGACCCTTCAAGAGAGTGTCCAGCAGAAAGTTTAAAGCCTTTTGATATTTTTAGCCATACAAACACCTGTACAAGGAATATTTAATAACATTTCTAAGGCTTTGTTAATACTTTTGCCAACTTTTGTGCTAAAAGTGTTCCATTTTATATATTTGGAACTGAAAATCCAGCAAGGTTTTTATCTCATCCATCTAAGTGCCTCTTCAGAAAAAAAATCCAGTCCTGGGTCATTTGCATATAGTTGTATAAAATGTCTGTAGGCAAGAAAGAAACAGAAGGTGGTCTGCTTGAGTGCTTCATCAGTGCACCAGTCTCCTAATGTTTCCATAGAAGCCAAGGATCCTTAGCTTCTGGGATTATTTGGATGCTGCCCCCTCAAAACTTTATCAGAAGATTGGTTAGGAGGTCCATAGAGTGTCCTGGAGACCAGGACAGAGCAGTATGGCAAATGATGAGGAGTTAGAGGGTTTGCATTGGTTTTCTTCTGCACTGTATCATAGAACGTTTTGGATTGGACATGAATAAATAGTTTTGCAGTGCTGCAAGCTGGATGCCAGACCCCAAACCAAGAACTGGCTATGCTTATGTGCCATGTGAAGTGAGTGGAGGTGAGCTAAGTGCTGAAGAAAGTGACTCACCACAGTCAGACAGGTGTATGATGGCCACAGCAGCCATCTCAAAACTGCTTTTGAGGGGTGCTCCACTATTCTCTGCTGGATGTGGAAGTGGATCAATTCACTATCTTCAGTGCCAAATGCTGCAGGAACTAAAGTTCTGGAAGGTGGAAGCTTACCTTGAATTTGTGTGCTGGATTGTCCTTCAAGCAAGGAGGTTTTGAAAAATGGCTCTGAGAAAAGTGTTTTTTACAGTTCTCTTTGAAAAACAGACTGCTGCTACCCAGCTGTCACTTAATAACCTGCTGTCTGCTTACCTGGGAAGTAGGAGGTCTAAACGCAGCTCACTGTATTCCTCCAGGCCTCCATCTCCCATCTGCTGGCAAGGTGCCCCTGTAACTAACCAACATAGTAATTTGATGTGCTTGGAGGCAGATGAATGATTTTGAATGTGTTTCATTGATGAAAACATGCTAGGTGGGAGAAGAGTGTCTTGTTATTCTCCTCAGGCAAGATGTTGACCATCTCTGGTCTGTGCAGTAAGAAAGCTTAGACACCCAAGTGTTCCAGTAAAACCACAGGAACCTCCTACCTCTTAAGGTGGCTGGATTGTTAGGAGGTGGTTTCAGATGCTTTGCTTGAACCTGGGATGAGGCCACAGAGAAAGAGAGAGATTCAGAGGTCGTGTTACCAGTGTTGAACTTAAGCATCTCTCACTTGGAGGTTTAGAGGTGAAAAACTGGGGGGAAGGATGGGTAGTGGAAAGAGAAACTTCTTAATCTTTGGCTGTTTTTGAATAGGGACCTTGAAGAATGAAGCTGTATCCATAGATGTGCTGAAGTTCCTGGTTCCTGTTTTTGGTCTTAAGCATGGCTCTCTGTGATTTTTTTTTTTTTTTTTTTTTTTTGTCCTGTCTGCTAATTGCAGAATAAGCATAAATGACAACAACAACAAAACAAAATCCTACCAACAGTACTCTAAGATTTTCTGTTTGAGTGATTTTCAGGCTTAGTTGTGGACCACCCCAAAATCTCCTGTGATGGTGCTGATGATTTTAGCTGATACTGAAACTTGCTGACAGTAGGTATGCATTTATTCATCTTTAGTGGACTCTTTAGAAATGGGCCTCCAAGAGGATGGATGAGATGTTGAATGCCAGGGTCAGTCTGCTCTTTGGAAGGACAAAATTATACAAGTGACTTTGTAATTTTAATTCTATGTATATATAGAATTTTTTATTATCATCAGAGAAAGTTTTGTAAGAGATCTAATTTTTGGGAATTAAAACAAAGATCTTTAAATATGATATGAAAGAACTGGCATTGTTAAATGGCACAGTAATGATGGACAATCAATTAAAAACACCAGACAAGAATCTAATGAAAGCCTAGTGCAGGAAACAGAAAAAAAGAAAGCCCTATTAAATAGTAAAAGAAAAATGTGTATTGATGAGGTTTCTTGTCAGAATGGTGTTAATAAGAAAACAGGTCTCTCTGATGGCTCACTGGAGTGGAGTTATGCTCAAGAAATGTTAAGGAAACAGATACTGAGAACATGTGGAACAGCAAGAGAAGGACTAATGGTGCATGCTGAGGAGACTCCAGGGTGCTGGATCTGTCAGCAGCACCTACACATGCACTTGCAGTGTTTCTCTCTAGCTGTGCAATGAACTTGCAGTTTAAAGCTAATGTAGAGTTGTAGTGAGAGCCATGCTATGAGCTGCAGCTGAAAAAACTCTTTGTTGGAGGTTACCTTCCTATGCTGTTTAATATCTTCATGAACTGGGTTTTGTTCAGCCAGAAGAGAAGGCTTTAGGGTGACCTAATTGCAGCCTTCCAGTACCTGAAGGGAACTTACAGGAAAGATGGAAAGGGACTTTTTACAAAGGCCTGTAGTGACAGGACAGGGGGAAAGGGCTTTCAACTGACAGAAGGCAGGTTTAAATTAGATAGTAGAAAAATATTCTTTCCTGTGAGGCACTGAAACTGGCTGGGCAGAGAAATTGTGGATGTGCCATCCCTGGAAGTGTTCAAGGCCAGGTTGGAGCTCTGAGCAACCTGGTCGAGTGGAAGGTCCCTGTCCATGTCAAATAGGTTGGAATCAGATGATCTTTAATCTCCTTTTTTGTAATTGTGGAGTGTCAAAAAGGGTCTGTTGTCATTCTCTATTTTTATGAAGGTTATACATAACCCACAGAGGGGCTTGGTGCGCAGCTGGCATCCAGCCAAGGCCAGTGCACCATGTCTGATAGACTGTCCCCTAAGCAACTCTGTATTTAAATGTGCATTTGCTTATTTAGGCTTAATGTACAAGTGATTACATTCACACTGTTCCTTGATTTTAGGAAAGGTGACATTAAACATTGCAACTACAGTGCTGAGTACATGGACTTTCTGTTATGTATAGAAGTGATGCTTCTGTATCTTTTTGGTATCACTGAGTAACTGTGGCAAGTCTTGGTTTTGTTTTCATTGTTCATTTTCTTGAGTCAGCTGGCAGATTTTGGGATTTCAGGTCGGTGTACTCTTTAACACCAGTGAAGCCTTTTATTTTACTTGTAACTGCACAATCAGAACAGTAGCATTAGTTTTTGCTCCTGTAAGTACCCTATAAATTCTGAGCAGACAAATGTGGAGGTTCAAGTGATCACTGTTTAGCTGTTCTGCAGCTTCTTAATTGGTGCATAGCTGCCCTCTGGTTGTGTTCTAGCTGTGTGAAGGGTATGTCTGCTGCTATTGTTACAGAATTTGCTGAGTACCAAAGCAGGTGGAAATGCCAGTAATTTTCACTGACTTAACATAGCTTGTTATATTATTCCCTAGAAATGTACATTATTAAAATACAGAAATCTCTCAGGGCAGTTGCTTGGATGGAAGGACTAATGAAAAAATTTCAAAGGGGGTTGTCATCCTCAAGAATCTTTTGGTAGCAGAAGCATCATGGTATACAGTTAAGGGAAGTAACACCTTTAGTTTATACTAATTCAGATAAACACCCTTGCTTAAAAATTGAGTTCTACATATTCTGTTTCCTCCTCAACTCATATTTCTTTTTCAAAATGAGACGAGATTGCCAAAAGCATCTCAAACCACATGCAATCCTTTGTACTCAGTCTTAAATCTTAAAGATAATTGTTAACCAGTTCATTGTACATAGTAAAGTATTTTGAGTGCATGTGTTGTGGTATGTGTAAGAGCTGCTGTGGGAGGTTTTTTCCACTAGAACATATTTCTGCTGAGTTCCTTTTGGCAATAGCTTTTACATTGGATCATGGCTATTGCCAATGATATAGACTGATCAGTGAAAGTCTGCTGTAGGATAGTAGTGTAAGAATACTTTGACTTCTGAGAACTTTGTTAGTGTCTAGTTATGTGCAGGAATTGAGTGCCTTTGTGTGTGCTTCAACTAAGTCCCATCAGACACATAGAAACCTATTTTCTCACTGTATTTTGCTTCCATAACCATTTCTGTGTACCAACCCTCTATTTTCTATTAACATGGGCAGCTGTTTTGATAAGTTCCCCTTTCTTTTGCCTTCTTTCCCTTATCTGTATTTGGAAAGGTGTGTCAGAGCTCTAACAATAAATGGACATTGGATAGTACTGTTGCTATCAAGATCACCTGTCACTTGTCCAGTGAAGATATTATAGAATCATAGAATGGCCTGGATTGGAAGGGACCTTTACAATCATCTAGTTCCAGTCCCCCTGCCATGGACAGGGACATCTTCCACTAGATCAGATTCCTCAAAGCCTCATCCAGTCTGACCTTGAACAGTACCAGGGCGGGGTGTCCACAGCCTCCTTGGGTAGCCTTGTTCCAGTGCACCGCCATCCTCACAGTAAAGAATATTTTCCCAGTGTCTAATCTAAACCTACTTTCAATTTGAATCCATTCACTGTAGTCCTGTCACTATATGCACTTGTAATAAGTCTTTCCACCTCTCTCTTTTAGGCTTCCTTTAGGTGCTGGAAGGCTGCAATTAGGTGAGTCCAAAGCCTTTTCTTCTCCAGTAATCCCAAATATCTCAGACTTTCCTTGTGGGACAGGTACTCCATCCCTCTAATCACCTTGGTGGCCTCCTCTGGACTCACTCCAACATGTCCATGTCCTTCCTGTGCTGAGGACCCCAGGGCTGGATGCAGCCCTGCAGGTGGGGTCTCAGCAGGGCAGAGCAGAGGGGCAGAATCCCCTCCCTCACCTGCTGCCCACGCTGCTTTGGGTGCAGCCCAGGGCACATTTGGCTCTCCAGGCTGCAAGGGCACATGGCTGGGCCATGTCCAGCCTCTCACCCCCCTGCACTCCCAAGTCCTCCTCAGCAGGGCTGCTCTGGCTCTGTTCATCCCCAGCCTGTGCTGGTACCGGGGTTTGCCCTGACCCAGGTGCAGCACCTTGCCCTTGGTCTTGTGAAACCTGATGAGATTAGGGCCACTCCTCAAGCTTGTCCAGGTCCCTCTGGATGGCATCCTGTCCTTCAGGAGTGTCACTGCACCACTCAGCTTGGTGTCATCTGCAAATTGCTGACGGTGCACTCAATCCCTTCATCCACATTACTAATGATGATATTAATTACACTGGTTCCAATACAGACCCCTGAGGGACATCACTTATCACTGATGTCCATCAGGACACTGAGCTGTTGACCACCATCCTCAAGGTATGATTGTCCAACCAGTTTCTTGTCCATCTAACACTCCACCTATCAAAACTGTCTCTTTTCAATTTAGAGAGATGTTGTGGGGTACCATGTCAAAGGCTTTACAGAACACTAGAAATGACATCTGTAGCCCTTCCCTTGTCCACTAATGTAATCATATGTAAAGTCACATAAGATCACATGTAGAGTGTTAGTTGGTCTCAGCCTGAAAGTAAAAATAACCTTTTGTTGAAATAGCATTGACACTGCCCCTGTTCAAATGCAAGATTTTGATCATGAATGCTTATGTACCACAGTGTTTTATTATATTGAGGATATCACTCCATGAAGTACATCCTTGTCATTTGAGGATAACACTCTTGGATCCTTTCCATGACTCTTGGTGGCTTGCATGCTGTTACAAAATTCCTGATGTTGTTCCATTTCCTATGTTCTGTATCTTTGGCTGGTTATTATTTTCCATTGCAGCCTGGTATTTTGCCATATCTTTCCTTCTTTTAAAATCTTCCCACTCTAATTATGTGTTGGGTTGTTTTTTGGTGTGATTTTTTTGTGGGTTGGTTTGGGTTTTTTTTTTTGTGTGTGTGTGGTTTTTGTTTGGTTTTCTTTGTTGGCTTTTTTGGTGGCTGTTTTCTGTTGTTTGTTTATTTGTTTGTTTTTCTGGTAATTTAGTCTCCCTTGAATTCTTTCACTTATGCATCTTCCTGTTTTCTGCACACTGCTGGCATGAAGTGGCACAGTTTTGTAACACACTGAAGGCCATCTCAGCCACTGCCAAGGGCATTCCTTTCCTTGGCTGGCATAATTTTTCACAGGAATTACGGCCATTTTATCCTCGCCAGGAACCAAGGAACTAAATCAACTGAAAATCAGCATTAAAGCAGAGGAATATCTTACTGCTGGAATAGCAGCCTGTGCTGGCTGCTGCATCAGAAGAAGAGATCAGAGAAGGGGAGGCTAACATGTGCCTGCAGTAGGAAGCCAGGCTGCTGCTAGCCCTCCTGTAGATTGACTTAGCTAATTAGCAATGATATGACCCCCTCACCTAACTTTATATACCTGCAAGGCTGACCTAGTGATGCTAGGTAATGAATAGATACCTCCAGAGTCAATTACCAGTTCTGTTCTGTATTGGGCTGAAATGAATCCCTGTGCCAAGGTTGAGGTCTGGACCTAAGCAGAGTTGTCCTGGTAAGTAGGCAGCTGCTGATTGTAGCTGTGTTCTGTCCTGTGGCTCACTTTTTGAGGCGTCATACTTGCCACATTGGGAAGAACTGGGCAGCAGTCAAGTGACTTCCCTTTATTCTTAGATCCTCCTTTAAATGTAGTTGTCACTTATCAAATGTGTGAGAAAAGAGGGTCAAAAGCTGTTTCTGCTCTTTCTTGTTTTTATTCCTCAATGAGGAGTAGGGTATTGTGACAACCAAAAGCAAACCTTTTTCTTGTCCCCTTGCCCTCTGGGATGGTGCCAGTGCTCCTCTGTCCTTTCTCTGCTACTCTCCTCTGGTCAGACCTCTGATTTTTCACTTTTGCTGTATGTCTGCTAGTAGTCTATATCCTATATATTGTCTCTTGTCTTTATTCTTCCTCTAACCTCATAAACTGCTTTTCTTAGATTTTGTCTTCTCTCTGGATGTTCCTGACCTGTCCTGTGTTTATACAGGACTCTGTTGTGGGACATAAAACAGAAATCAGAATACTCATTTTACCTAGTTTTAGTCTATGGTCCTACCACTAGGCTTGAGCTGGCTTCATCACCAAGCTTCTTCTCTGCTTCCTTTCATCCTTTAATGTAGCATGCCTGAATGTAGTCTAATTTCATCTGTTGTGTCCATCCAATGTGAGCAATTGCTCTCTTGGGGACCTGGAGCTGTGTGTTTCAATCCTTTTAAGTTAACTATCTTCCATAGTTGTTACTTCACACCTCTTGGATCAATGCTTGAGTGGCATTTCTGTTGTGCAAAGGGCATGTGCCATTGCTGGCATGGCTGGGATGATTGGATGGGGCCTTGATAGACTTTTCTGCCTCTTCTCTACACCTCCCAGCATGTAGCTGCAGGACTGGGTGTGAAGCCCCTCCCAGGGCAAGTTTGCCTTTTGAGCCTGCTCAGTGCCCTCAAGAAGACAACAGTCAGGCCCATCTAGGAAATCTTCCAAACATCCCAAGCGTGAGAACGTGTTGCAAAGTGTAACTTGGTTGAGTGGGCATAATATTGCACAGCTATCCCAACTTCTGCAGCTACTCCTAAACATCTGTGGATGGGAAGTGCTGAAAAGTAATGCCTTAAAGCTTCTTAAATAAAATCACAAATGCATATGTTCATATTATGTATTTATTCATGTAAAGAAATGTTCCCTGCAGCATTCTCCACATAATTCACTGATTCTTGGTGAATCCTTGTTTTTTTGCTTCCTACAGATAGCTGTGTGGGGATAGTATGAGGTTCTCATGTAAATGCTTTTTAGGAGTGGGAATTAATTGAGACATTCTAGACCCAGGTTTTAGAAGAACTAATACTTAAATTAGAACCCTGAACACAGGTTTGTTTTTTTTTTTTTCTTTTGCAGTGGTTAAGAATACCAAAAAATTGATCTGACATATAACAATGACGGCACCCAAAATCACAAACTATTCTTGTAAAATATACCTGAAGGCAGAAGAGATCTTGTAATCTAGTAGGGACTTTTGTTGAAACATTGCATGAGAAATTCAGATTAGTATTTCTAGTTGTCTCTGACCACCAATTTACATAAAAATAAAAATGTACTTAAGTGTTATTTTCTACAAAATAATCCATAGATTGTCTAAAAATCCATAGAGAACTATTGTGAAAGATTTGGCACTCAAGTCCCATCTCTTTCTAGTTAAAAGTTGAAAACTACCCCCTTTCTGGTACTGCTTCATCTCACACTTGCTCAAGCCTTGTTTTTATATTTTCAGTACAGATGAAAGTAAGTTAACTCTAACATGAGCTCATTGACTTCAGCAGAACATCAGGAAGAAATTTGTCCCAATTTTTAAAAACATTCTTCTTGATGAAAAGTGGGACTACTATACCTACATCTCATAAGGGCATCTATGTTGACAAACTAATCACACCTTACACCTTACAAACATTGTCTGAGGAAATGTCTCTATTGTGCCAGTCTTAAGTGTACTTTGGGGAGTAACCAAGGACTTTACTATCAGTTTGGTTGTTAGGTAATGCTAGCTTCCCATCAGCTTAGACTCACTCCTTTGTCCTTTACAGCAAACCTTGCTGTTCTTCAGTGTCATCAGGAGCTGAAACGTGTTATGTCTGTGCTTTATGCTGCTCCATGCTCTGTAGATTTCACAGAGACTTGGTAACCACAGCAGTTATGGCTCTCATTCTTGTAATTCTACAGTATAAATATTTAGGGTTTTGTTTTTTTTTTCAGTCTTTCAAGTCCATTGTTTTAACCTCTAAATCAACATGTAGGATTTAACTTGAGAGCTTTGTAATTGGTTCTGATTTTCATAGTCCAACTAAATGGCAAACGTTTGATTACCCAAGGTAATATGCAAAGGAAGTGAGAGGACAAAGGACAAAATGCTTAGATAAAGTAAAAGCATAGCTACACAGAACATCTGTAGGTTAGGAAGATTAATAAGGCTGTAATGGAGAGAAATGAGGTCAGTGACACAGGTTTCATCTCCAGTGTGAAAAGCTTCTTCCCCAGGGAATGATCCACATCCCTTGGGCCAAGAGGTGAAATGCAGCTTGTGTCAATAGTGCTGGAGACTTGTCCCTTCTACTTCTCCCTGCTTCCCCCAGAATCCTATCCTTGGCCTGCAGTGGGCACTGGTGGTAGCCCTGGGACTTAATTTTTTTAGTCTTTTATCTGTCTAAAATGTCTGAAATAGCATGAGGACTGTGTCATAGCCTGCTATTTTGTGAGCATGATTTTGTGGGCATGTGGTGCATCTCCTAGAATTTGGCTTAGGGCCTGCAGGTGCTTGAGCTGCCAGAGAGTTCTGCCAGGGAGGTGTTGAGATGTGGATGATGAGGACTTGAAAAGTCAGAGGAGTGCAAACTGTTGAAAATTATTGCTATGTCTGTAGTGCTGACTCAAACCAGCTTGGGAAAGTCACTCACCAAATGTGGTTGTGGCTCAGAGATTTGCATGTTTGTACCAGAAGCATACTCAATTCAGAATAAAGGTAATTCACCTCAGATACCTAAGAATGAAGTATAGTTTTGAAAATAACAGCAAAAAAAAATAAAAATACCATGAATGCTACTCAGTGAAATAAAACCAGATCGAAGATGAGTCTTATAGGATTATACAGAGGATTGCACTTACTCT